AAGGTCAAAGTTTTTCAAAAGTAGGTCAAACTCCTATGTCAAGGTCAAAGGGTCAAAGTGGTTGGTATCCAAAGGAAGGTCTTGTCACAAGGATTACATATGTGAAGTATGAAAGCCCTAGCACCAACCATTCATAAGTTATGGCCAAGGTTAAAGTTTTTTAAAAGTAGGTCAAACTCCTATGTCAAGGTCAAAGGGTCAAAGGGGTTAGTATCCAAAGGAAGGTGATGTCACAAGGATTACACATGTGAAATATGAAAGTTCTAGCATCAACCATTTAAAAGTTATGACCAAGGTTAAAGTTTTTCAAAAGTAGGTCAAACTCCAAGGTCAAGGTCAAAAGGTCAAAGTTGTTGGTATCCAAAAAAAGGTCTTGTCACAAGGATTACATATGTGAAGTGTGAAAGCCCTAGCTCCAACCATTCAAAAGTTATGGCCAAGGTTAAAGTTTTTCAAAAGTAGGTCAAACTCCAAGGACAAGGTCAAAATGTCAAAGTTGTTGGTATCCAAAGGAAGGGCCTTGTCACAAAAAATACACATGTGAAGTTTGAAACCCCAAGCACCAACAGTTCAGAAGTTATGGCCAAGGTTAAAGACTCATAAAATTTTGCAAAAGTTGGTCATACTACAAGGTCAAAAGGTCAAATATGATGGTACCCAAAGAAAGGTCTTGTCACAAGGAATACACATGTGAAATATGAAAGTCATAGCTCCAACCAATCAAAAGTTATGGGCAAGGTTAAAGTTGACAACAGACAGACAGACAAATGGACAAACAGACAGACAGGACAAAAACAATATACTCCCGGGATCTTTCGATCGGGGGCATAAAAATTGTAAGCCCTGCCATTAAATGAGACTAAATGCAGTCATAATAGAGCACATTGAATTCAAAGTTTCAAGTGGAGATGACTTAATTAAAATTTGAGATGTTATTGTTAGCATCATTTGAAGTATAAAGTTTTAAATTAATATTTATATATACATTTTGCCTTGTAGGTATCACCAATGAAATTTGCTTCTTTTATAACATTCTTAGACTAATACATATGACCTTATTTTGAATCATTGTAGCAGATTTATTAGTCCCCTACTGGTGAAACCGGAGGGGACTATAGGTTTCCTCTGAGTCTGTCCTTCCCTCTGTCCGTCTGTCTGTCTGTCTGTCCGTCTGTCTGTCCCTCTGTCTGTCTGACCCACTTGGTTTTCCGCACTTTTTTCCTAAACACTTGCAGATATTGAGCTGATTTTTGGTATGTGAGTATATCTTGATGAGTTACAGATCCAGTTTGCATTTTGTTCCGCTTCATTGATTTTTGATGGAATTATGGCCTTTTCAATTTTTAAGGGTTTTCCGCAATTTTCTTATAAACTCTTTCATATATTGAGCTGATTTTTGGTATGTGACTTTACCTTGATTAGTTATAGATCAAGTTTGCATTTCATCCCGCTTCATTGATTTTTGACGGAATTATGTCATTTTCAATTCTTAATGGGAACCAGATTACACTTGCCAGTAGGGGACTAGTATTGCTAATGCAATACTTTTAGAATGCTTAATTGTTAATGAATTTAAAACTGCATGGCAAAAAATGTCTCAGAGATTTTGATCATTAAATTCTTAATTGTGTTAATTATTATAAGTGCATGGGTTTTGATCAGCATACAGAGTTTAATATATTTCATTTATAGAATTATTGAAGGTTAAGAAGTTGTAGGAATTAGACACACTGAATGGTTTATTCCCCATTTTTCTGACTTTACAGAATTCTTGTTACTATATATTATATTTATTTACTTGTTTTAGCTATATGCTCCTAGGCAATCAAAGTCTATATGTACATTACTTCATCTGATTCTGTTGTTACCTGTTCATGCTCATGTTACATACATTATAGGGGTTAAAGGAGCATTATACATATGTTACATTAAAAGTCCCGGCCTTCATAATTGGAGTGAAAATTAAATGTAATATAATTGAGTAAGAGTGCAAAATATTAAACCACTCATTTGGTCAAAATGTTAATCCCCATCAGCTGTCAATTAATTCGTGTTCACAGTATATTTGAGCCTTTATTATATGTAGGTTTCAAAATCCTTGGAGGTTTTAAATGACTGAAAGATTAAAGAGGATTTACAGAAGACATTAACATGCATCAAGATCCAAAAAAATAGTAGAGTGTCTAAAGATATATAAAAAATTGTATACTTTAATTAATAAAAAATAGATTTGTTGCCCTAACTGTTTTAGAATTTCCCACAACTAATGTGTAACTCCTGAATAATGCAATCATTGAATTTACATGTCATGTATCTCAATTTCTTTTCACTTTAATAGTTCACAAAAATAGAGATTATATATGTTTATATTAATCCAATTTTACTAGACATGATTTTATGATCTTTCTGTCATGTAGTTGCTCTTGCAAAAATGTCAATTACCAATATTTAAGTTAACCAAAAAATGTTGCAGTCATAACTTTATAACTGGATCTTCCTAAATTACATAACTTTTTTACTTGCACTTCTGAACCAGAAGTCAATTATGACATTGTCATTTTTAAGTTTTACATTCATATCTTGTTCCATGAAGCTAAGAGTTGCTGAACCTTGTTGGTCCATGCACCCTGGGGTAAAGGTGTGCAACTACCTCTAAAGAAGCTGCATTAACCTCATTTTAGAATTATGTGGCTAAGTCCATGTTCACATTGTGTCTGGGTCATATTTTAAACTCTGTGAGGTTTAGGGACATCAAATGTCAGTTGATTCAGGTCCAGCACAATCTCTTGATTTAGCTATATAGCTTGAAAAAGCTATATAGCTTTATCAAGCTATTCAAAATAGCTTGATAAAGCTATTTATGTGCAGTTTTTTCAGAAAAAAAAATTTTGTAAGAAAAAGACAAAAAGTCACACGTATTAGACTATTCATATATGTACTTTGGGCTATCAAAACAACAACTGAAATCAAAGATAGTTCTAACATTGCAGCATTTGAATTCTTTTAAGCAAAAGATGAATTTCCATTGTTTGAGTAACTGTACACCACCTTGTGTGCGTTGAGGCATGGATAAGTATGATTGCTTCTCATTGTACTGAATTATTACCAATCCATTATCTTGTTGACCATAATTGGCCTCTTTTATAATTTCAATGAAGAAGTAACTGTATCAATTGCTTTATATAGCCCCAAAACTTTTAGAACTTTGAGTACAAAGTCTATTAAGGAGACGCAATTTGATGAGTGATTTTTACATGCATTGTTTCCAGAAGAGTTCAAGGTTGAATATTATCACTGCACCAAGGTGCGACTTTTTGTGCATGCTGAGAAAATAATACATTTAAGAAAAAAGTGTGATAAAATAGCTAAATTAAGCTATTCTGAATAGCTTAATAAAGCTATATAGCAAAATCAAGCTATATAGCTAAATCAAGAGATTGTGCCGGACCTGTGATTTATCTGACTTTGGAAGTGTTTTATAACCAACTCAAAAAGTAGGTCATGTTAACCTTATTTTGGAAGTATATGTCTTTACTTACTCAAATTATTTTTGGGTCATATTTTGAACAATATGAGGTCAATGGTTATCAAACAGTGTTGTATCTTATAGGAAAGAGATACAATGTGACCCAAGTGTTGTTCACGATCACACACATATACATGTTTACAAAGACCTATGATTATCAGATCTTGACCTTTGATTAATTAACTGCTTTAAAATTTTCCTTTGTAATTATAGTATCTGCTGGAATATTGAGCTTTTGTGGTTTACCTTAATCCGTAAACTTACTGATATGGTATCTTGCGAGGTATAAACACACAGACAAACATTCCGGCAAGCCTAACCTTTTTCCAACTTCAGATTTGACCTGCTTCCACACATGCTCATGGAAATAGCTAGGAAAAATATTTAGGATATCAGGTTATGAAGTGTATATAGTGGGTCCCCCCTCCCCCCTCCCTTTTGGCGTTGACATTTAAACATTTTCCTCACCATTATGTTTGCATTTGTAGTGTGCAACTCAAAAGAAAACATAATGAATGTATTTATATAATAATTGTACAACATAATGATATATATGGCATATACCGTAAAGATTCTTATAATTGTCAGAGAGCTAGAAGGAAGGGAACAAAAATATTAATGAATATACTGTAAATGATGTCTGATTCTTTATAAACATTGAAATTTTGACAGTTACATTACTTAAGAAATATATTGGTTAAGAGAGAACTTGACTGTCTACTAGTATTTAACTATGCTCTTTAAAAAGGATGAGATAGTAGGTTAGTGGAAATATTAATGATTAAAATTCATTTGTCAATTTTGTGAACATTAATTTCCACATTGTCAAAATTTCCAAGTTGACAGTACCATATTCTTCCCTTTAAGCATCCCTATATACCCCTTCAAAGGTGAAGGTCAGAAGTTCATTTTCATTTCAGGACAACATCTTATAAAGCCTTTGAGCTTTTGCAATGAATTTTTATATCATATGGTTTCCAGGTGATAACTTTAGTTCTCTTTGACATTTTGCAATGAAATTTTATAACTTTCATCAGTATGACTTGAAGAATTCTATTGATTTTGAGGTCAAAGAATAAGGTCAGAAATTCATGCATTGATACTCAGTTTTTAGAAGAAAACTTTAGTTCTCCGTAAGCTTTTGCAATGAAACTTAAGCTTAAGGTCATGAATTTTCTTAACTTAAAAAAGACCCCAAATGAATTTAAGGCCAACAGATGAAATGTCAAGGGTGTCTTTTTTTTCTCTCTCCATTTGCATTTTTGTCCAGATCTTCTGCCCTTTTCTTTTTTCATTAGGCAGGGGACATAAATTCCCTGAATTAAGTATTTCATAATAAAATTTTTTACTAAATACATTTGTGTGTTTCTTAAAATATGAGGATCAAGTAACAACTTCTTTTCTTATATTGCTTGGGGACCATATTCAGATGAATCATTTGACAGCAGAAGTATAACTTGTATTTCTATTTCAGCTGCAGTGTGGGAGTGTGTTTGTGACATCAAAAGATACCGTAAAGAACATCAAATCCACCATCTTGGCAACTAACATAAAGCACAAAAAGTCCGGCAAACATGCATTAGCCCTCGGGACCAGTTTTGGACATGGTAAATATGCAGTTAATTTTAGATAGATTTACTAGTATATGAGTGGAAAGGTTAGACATATCATGTAATATTGAAGGTCACTCTACTAGTTGCTGTAAACATACTTATTTTAGTGGAAATCATATTTCAGCCTCTTTTGCGCTGCTGCTGGTCAGCTGATAAAATTCATATACAGTTGAACTTCAGTATCTGGAACACTGATATCTCAAAGACCATGGATATGTCGAAGCGATTTGGGAGTCTCAATGGCTTATTCCTTAAGTATTTTACCCAGGATATCTTGAACCCTCGGATATCTCGAAGTATTTTCTCGGTCCGATCAGGATAATGAGGTTTGATTGTACATGGTAATATGTACATGATTTAAACAAATACATGTCGTCTTGAAGACTCAAGTGCACTAATTTATGACTGCACTAATCAGTTGACGAGAATGTTCGATTGCTTTAGATTTTGAGTGTGCTTATTTATATATGTTTACAGTATATAAGATGGAAACTTTAAATGAATTTTATAAATGGAAAAAGGGAGTTCAAATTGTCTTAATGCATATTATATAGATAGCAAATATTGCTAGCAAAAATATCCTGGACTTAAAGAACCCTAGATCCACCCTGTTGTATTTGAATCAACATTCAAGTTGAATTAATTTGACTTTGAAAAATATAAGTAACAGTCCCACTTCATAAGTAAAACCAAGGTACGGCTGATTAGGAAAGAAAAATAGCAACAGTCCTAGATTCTAAATATAACCAGGGTTTGTCAATATATGTAAACTCTTCAGTTCACAAACAAAGTCATGTTTGTATTGCTGTTCAGAAAATAGAATCTAATCCAAAGAATTAGCTTCCACTTGGAAATAATGAATATTATAACAGCAAACAACAGGCCATAAGGACATGATATTTCCATTAATCACTCAAACCCACGTGTCATCTTTTAATAAGAAATAAGTCTTTGTTTGACATTTTATTCAGATATCATATCCTCTATTAATTTAAGTGCACTCACCATTGTCTTAAGGAAACACTAAATGGTTATGAAGATTCCGGAAACAAAAGAGCATCGAGCCCCTTGCCATCAGATATCGTATTATCTGGTACAGGGATCTTGTGATCGAATATCTTGACACATACTTTGTGTAACATCACACCATTACGCATCACATCTGTATACTGTATTGTTTTTTCGGTATGGAGGAGTAATACCCACACATGTGGAAACAACAGACCTGTTTGACCTGTTCAATGACATTGTAGATTTCAAACTCCTAATGCCCATCCCCCCTTTTTTTAACAGTCTAGGGGTACATGAGGACTTTTAAGAGGTTGGGAGAGTTAAGGGGATTAAAAACTGACCAGTTTGACACCCCCCCCCCTCTTTGTACTTTTGTGAGGGAGTTAGGGGTTAGGGGATTAAAAACTTCATTGTCAATATGTCATTATGACCCCCCCCCCCTCCCCCACCACTTTGTTGTTGAGAGTAAGGGGGGATTAAAAACTGACTAGTTTATGACTTTCCTTGTTGTATAGTTTAGTGAGGGTTGGAGAGAGGGGGATCAAAAAACTTACTAGTATGACCCAGTCCCTTATTGTTCTGTTGTGAGGGGAGGGGGATAAAGTTAGGGGGATTAAAAACTGTCTAGTATGACCTGGCCCCTTATTGTTCTGTTGTGAGGGTGGGAGAATGTTAGGGGGATTAAAAACTTACTATTTTGACCTGACCCCTTGTTGTTCTGTTATGAGGAGGGGAGATAAAGTTAGGGGGATTAAAAACTGACTATTATGACCTGACCCCTTGTTGTTCTGTAGTGAGGGAGGGAGAAAGTTAGGGGGATTAAAAACTTGATAGTATGACCTGGCCCCTTGTTCTGTTGTGATGGTGGGAGAAAGTTAGGGGGATTAAAAACTGACCGTATGACTCTCCTTGTAGTAAAAGAGTCTAGACTTGGACTAAGCAAATGTTAAGGATTATCCAGTCAATTAATATATAAATGAAGGTAACAAGTTTAACTCCTCTTAATCCATAAAAAAGCAGGGTTATAACTTTTGTCCTGTACAAAGATCTTGTCTGTAGATCATTAAATCATTTGTCACCCTATGCCTTGCTTCAACTATTAAAAGGTATAATTTATGTCATATATTGCTTATAAAAAGTTCCTCCTGAGATTCCATATTGTAAACAGGCTTTGTGAAATTGAAGAGTTCTTGAATTTTAAAGAAAACTTGTATATTTAAGCACATTACTTGCAACAAACAACTTTAATATGCACACAGGCTTTAATCAAAACGTGAAACATATATATGTATAATGAACTTCAGTAAGAGATTTTATCTTTGGAATGGAAATCATGTTCATAATAGAAATATTGGGGGGGGGGGGGGGGGGGCAGAAATTGTCAAGTTCATTTACATCCTGAGGATTCTTCAGTTTTCACCATTTCTTAATAATTTTTTTTTTTTGAAAAGACAAAAAATATATTGTTCTTGCATAGATACCTCTTGGCTGTCGCTGGCTTGACTCAATCATATAATCATCTGAATGATTAAAAATTAAGAATATGTTGGGTGAAAAGATTTGCAATGTTGCATAGACTTTGTGGGGTGCTTTTATTTCATTTAGTGTTCCTCAGTTACTTTACCTTGACATCCAATCTACCCAAAGAGGCAATGCAATACCTGCAGAAGGTGTATATATACTTGCCATATAATCTCCAATGCTGTCAAATCTGAAGGGTGGACAAGATTTATCATTTGTTCTCCTAGACAATGCATTGTTTGCATATTATCGAAAGTGACACTTTAAATTAGGCTGTTATAACACAAATTTCTTTTTGCTAAATTAAAACAAACTCTCTATTTGTTTTACACCTGTCAAATCAAATAGAGGCTTTGGTCGTTGAGCAGCGGGGCTGTTTGAACTGAAATTGTAGGATTCTTCGTGTGGAAGATTATCAAAGAATTACTTCTAAAGTGTGTCTGTGAATTGTTTTTTTTCTCAAATAGAACACACTGGGAGGGAATACGGAGAATATTAGCTCTTCCATAAATGTTCCCCCTCCCCAAAATAGGGATTTCAGCATACCTCACATGTAGGCTCCAAACAGTTTAATTGTAGGGCCGAAGTATTTTACATTTCTGCGCAAAAATATATTTCTAATTTTTTTCATCATTTCAATAAAGGAAACCAATCGGAATAATTCACGTTGACTATTGTCTTTGGATACATATAAAACCCAGTGGCTTAAGATCTTTTCAATATCTGATGGAAACACAAAAGAGTCTTCTGATTGATTTAGGAGATAACAAATGCCGGTGCTAAACCTGTGCTGCAAAATGTGATACATAATTTAATTTTATTGTAAAAAATGGACGGGAGCATTCCTGGTTACCTGGGCTGGGAAAGAAAGTCCCAATTTGTTTGAACAGTTCTTCACCAGAAAGTCTATATACACTTGTTTTAGTGGTGTGTGTGTTCCATCATTGTAAAAAGTCTGAAAGCCGTCTTCAATAACTTTGCGTTTAAATATTCCACGATTTAAAACAATTTCATGCTTTAGAGAAATAACAAACTAAGTTAATGAGGCACTTGAGGACATGTGGTATATAAATAACATGAAATTCTGTCCATTGGACAAACTTTGGAGGTGAATGTAACAGACTATAGGACCATTATTTTTCAAGAGTTTATGAGTGGGAAAAAGTTAAATTGTAATGAAAGCATGGAACTGCAGTGCTGGAAAACTTTGCTAAATCTTAAATTAAATGTTTTAAGCATTCAAGAGGAACTCAGTAAGTATATATATATATTTGAATTTGTAATTAAATGGGTATATAAATCATTTAAAGGTTCCAGAAAAAATACAAAATAGGAGTTCTTGACTATAAAGAATAAATTTGAATTGTATTTAAGAGGGCCGGTACATCAAAATAAATAATAATGTCTTTGAAGAAGGTCATTTATAAAGTACTTGATTTTTGTTTATCCTTCCCCCCTTTCATTAGAAGTTTTGAAAGTAATTTTTAGATTTAAATGATAGTGTATTGGTGGAACTTTAAAAAAAAAATTATTTTTTGTTTTGTTTGATTAATTTTCAAAATATTTTATTGTATAAAAAATTTAGAATACATTATTTCAGTATATATAGTATAATCTTGAATTTTATGAATTTAAAAAATTTAGAGTGTTGCTCAAGTAGTGCAAGAATTTTGATGAACTTGTGAGGTAATAGTAACCCTATCCAATTTAAATTATTTAAACATCTTTTATCCAGTGCATGCATTTAGTGTGATTTTACTGGAATTGACAGCCTCAACAAGGGAGAGAGTACATGCATGTATAAAATGCTTCAATATCAAAGCTCTTTTGGGCCATTTTCAATTTAAGCTAGCAAATTTTAAGTCTTCCAGACTGCAAACTTAAGTTCCAATTTTGAAGTTGGGCAATATGGTTGCAACTAATAGTTTGTTGTGTTTGGATAAAAAAAATTTCCAGAGAATAAAAATAAAGTGGAGTTAATTGTGATTTAAAATAAAAAAGTGATGTGACATGAAAGGATGTATGTCTTATATACATGGACCAAGATGAAAAAAGGAGGGGGGATTAAATTCACAATTATCTAGGTAAATCTTTTATAATTGATCTTTTTTATCAAATACTATGTAGCATTTTAGATACATGTACAATATAGTGGGACAAATGTGTTACAGTTGTAGAATATGAAAATTTCTAATTTATTAAGCAACACACATTTTTTAAAAGAAATCCATAGTTTGCTACCTGTAAGATGAGGATAATATATGAAAGTTATACATAAGTATAAATATTTAAGGAATGAAAGTAAATTTAAACAGTTATAAAGGTCTGTGTTCTTACTTCAGATTTAAATTTCCTCTTAAAGAAGCACCAAAGCTAATTAGTGACCACAGGTCATTGTTAATTTCTTTTGCAATATTTGAAAAGCAAGAAGCCTTTTGAAATGTTTGTTTGGGAGAGTGAAATTCTTTTTGATTATGACATGGTAGAATACTGTTATGTGTATCATAACCCAACTTGACTAAGTGGAATAAATATGTCTACATAATCAACTTTGCCTGTTTGCGTCAATACATTTGTAAGAGTACTTTCCAATCCTGTAAAGTTTTCGCCAATTCAGTGAAATCTCAATAAAAAATAACGATAAATGATCTAACAGAATTATGACACAATTAAAATGCTAAAACACATTACATGTATATTACCTTTAATCATTTACGTCTTAATGGTCAGTGTACTTCTGACCAGTGGGCGCGGATTATACAAATCTTCTGAAATCTGATTTTCTAATTTTAAAGTAGCAAGTCACTTTAGGTTAAATATCAGAATGGTCAGGTGTATCAGAACTTTTAGGTTAATATTTGGTGTACAGTGTTTTTCTAAGACCATATTTAGTATAGAATGAATTTGAACTTTTAAAGAGGGGGAAAATGGTGGTCATGAGAAATGTGGAGTTTACCCAAACTGCTCTAGAATTGAAATTGAATTTTCTTAGGATTCAGGAACATTGTAAGTTGAAAATGATTTAAAGTTTTTCTTTTTTCCCACTTTTTTTCCCTTTGGTTTGTAAATGTGTGTTAAAATTATTTGCTAATCTTTTTCATTTCGTATGCAATTATTTTACAATCATTATGCTTTAAAATTAATGTTTGAGCTGTTTGCAAAGGTTAAATGACTTGCTTGATCCATGAGATTCTTTTAATGCAGTTGTAAGGGTATCATGAATGATAAGATTTTACAAAAATAGGGATTTTTTTTCGCTTTACCATGTATTTCATTATGTCTATGGGAGCCAGTTTTTTTTCCCAAAATATGCATATGATATGTATAAAGACAATAAAACTATTTTCTGTCTTGTTTATTCATTTAGTGATCAGTCTGTTCATCTATTCTTCTATCCATATGGTATGATTCACCTGAAGTATATTTTCTCTCCCCTTTATCCTAAATGTGGCTCATAAAGTGCCCAGGGTAAAGGGTATATGGTGACCTTCTTCAAAGTTTCTGGGTAAAAGGTCAAGATCAAAACAGGTTTTTATGTACAGTCAAACTTCATTATCTCAAACAAAAAGCCTCGAAATATCCAGAAATTCAAGATATTGAGGGTAAAATGCTTAAAGAAAAAGTGTATGGGACTTTCAAGTCACTTTGACATATCCATATAGTATTCAAGATATAATTTTTTGTTAAGAGCAATTTTTTTCTTGCCTTATAGTTATTCTTCACAGAGTGTTCTTTAGCAATTAAAGGATATGCAATAACCATATTCCACATTTTAAGCTCAAAGATCAAGTTTTAAAGCATATCCTTTTATAAATTCACTATTCTTGAGTTTAAAGCTTATACTTGTAAAAAAGCTTGCTTATGACCCATGGGTGTTTCTTAATCTTGATCCAAGGTTATTTGGATAAATTCAGAACATTTTACCTTAAAAAACAATACACATGTAATTATTTCTAGGTCATAATCTTTTATATATAGTCATGTGTAAGTTGATAAAATATTGTGTTGATGTTGTCAAAAAAAAAATTATTGTCTTTTTACAGTGCATTCCTTTCTGAAGGATGACCTTCACCTTCTGCAGAAGTTGGAGGATGGTCAGGATCAATGTTTGATGCTGACAAAGAAACCTAAATCCTCCATAAAGCAGGTACGTATAGAAACCTAAATCCTCCGTAAAGCAGGTACGTATAGAAACCTAAATCCTCCGTAAAGCAGGTACGTAAAGACACCTAAATCCTCCCTAAAGCAGATACGTATAGAAACCTAAATCCTCCATAAAGCAGGTAAATATAGAAACCTAAATCCTCCATAAAGCAGGTACGTATAGAAACCTAAATCCTCCGTAAAGCAGGTAAATATAGAAACCTAAATCCTCTGTAAAGCAGGTACGTATAGAAACCTAAATCCTCTGTAAAGCAGGTACGTATAGAAACCTAAATCCTCTGTAAAGCAGGTAAATATAGAAACCTAAATCCTCCCTAAAGCAGGTAAATATAAAAACCTAAATCCTCTGTAAAGCAGGTACGTATAGAAACCTAAATCCTCCGTAAAGCAGGTACGTATAGAAACCCAAATTCTCCGTAAAGCAGGTACGTACAGAAACCCAAATCCTCCGTAAAGCAGGTACGTATAGAAACCCAAATCCTCCGTAAAGCAGGTATGTATAGAAACCCAAATCCTCCGTAAAGCAGGTATGTATAGAAACCTAAATCCTCTGTAAAGCAGGTACGTATAGAAATCTAAATCCTCTGTAAACCAGGTATGTATAGAAACCTAAATCCTCCGTAAGTAGGTATGTTTGGAAACCTTAATCCTCCGTAATGCAGGTATGTAAAGAAACCTTAATCCTCTGTAAAGAAGATACATATAGAAAACTTATTATCTGTGAATTTTCTGTAAGGCATAGCACAAAGGTTGTTAATCATAAAGTTAGAGACCAAGAGGTCAGTCAGGATTCAAGGTCAGTTGTTTGTATTATGTCAAGGTCAAATTACTTAGAAGTTAGCAATGACTACTGATGATCATTCATAAGGTCATCAAATGGGCATAAGCATAAAGTACCGGCACCTATGTTTCCTATGGTATACTATATCATATATATACTATAGAAACCAGTGAAAGATGTCCTATGTCTTTGATCATGTATAGTTGACAAACTTTATAAAAACCTATTTTAAACTTGTCTCTTCAAGAATTATTTGCAATATGCAATAAAATACTAAAATGCAAATAAAGACCCCACTGAGTTCTTGGTAATTGCACACACAGAATTTGACTTACCGGTAAGCATTAGTTTTTCAAAATTCAATTTTAATAACCTACATTTCTTGACAGATGCTGAAGTCCCAAAGCTGGACAAATCTAACAACTCCCTCAAACTCTAGTGTCTTTCACAAAACTGATGAAGAGGACTTCCGGAAAAAGTTCAAATCTAAGGTAAGTAAACTTTTTAAAAGGAATTCTGAAAAATTTGTTCACCAGATAATGGTGCATCATAATGAATGAATGTTGACTTTGCAGATGAAGAAAAAGCCATCATCTGAATATCGCTTAGCTCCTGTTAGAGATCTGTCACCTCAAAACAATTCATCTGATGATGGAGGATTCCTAAGTCATCCCCGTAACACAGTCAATCGATGGAGGAGAATGGACGATACAGCGTCTGACCTGTCTGTGTCCAGTGGCTATAAATCCTTGGACAGGAAAGATCACAGTAGCATTCTGAGAAGATCTCAACCAAGAGATGCACAGAATAACTATCAACAGCTTCGCAAGGATGGAAGGCAGTACCAAAGTCACAATGACATCTACTTCCAGTCTCCCAAAAAAGTCGTCAACATTCTGTCCGAGGATGACAGCTGTACCATAAAAAGTGATGAATTTTATTCCGACACCAACACCCAAGCCAATACGACTCTTACTTCAGAGCTTGATGAATCAAAGGATCAAGAAACAGTAGCCAGGTCTCACAGCTTAGGAGACCTTTCTACTGGTTTGACTTTATCATTAGTGGGGCAGAGAAAAGCTGAGAGCATTCAGAGTCTACCCTTAGCCTCCCAGAAAAATCCCCCCAGGAAGTCTAGTTATGCCAAGCGGAAAGCAGAGGTGAGAAGTCAAGCTAAACATCCTAAAGGCAACAAAAATAGGCAAAGCATAGAGAGTCAGATACAAAGTATTATTCAGGTTGGAGATGAGAGTGATGTTACGTCAACCACACCCGAGATGAATGGAACTCCAGCACAGCCCATTATCTGCAAATCAAACAGTAATTCACAACTGATGAAAGAAAGTTCCCAAACATCTCTGAATAATGTACATCGAGCATTAAAGGCTGACTTGCTTCCTGACAAACATGGGATAAGCATGACAAAATCTGAGAAAGAAGAAGACAATTCTTCTGATAAAAGCAACCAATCAGCTAGGAGTACAGTCAAAACACCCAACAGACCTAGGCGAACTCTTCCAGTGGTGCCAAAAGGTTCTGAGGAAGTTGGAGAAAAGAAGAAGAAATACAGTGAGATGATGAAGATGAGGGTGTCTCTTCACAGCAGTAACAGCTGTAGTTCTTTATCAAGACAGTCTCTCCTGTCTCCAGGATCTGAAGGTGCATCACAAAATGACTCGCAGACAGACACACCATCAGATAGAGAAGTGTCCGAGCTTTTCAATGGTCATTCAGCAAAGCCCCAAAGACAGAACCAGTTTACAGATTCAAACATTCATGATGGCCAGATGGTCAATAGCAATGGAATACCTCTCAATGGGAATGTGCACTCCTCCTTACCTTCTGGGGTTAGATCATGTGATTCTGGACAAACTACTCTAAGATCATGTGACTCAGGACAAGCCACACTGATGTCTCTCAGCAGTACTGTAGATTCAGGGTATCTCACTACAGATGCTGAGAGTGATATTTCTTCCTATACCAGAAGCTTACAGATATCAGCTCACAATTTCTATTCCTCCAGCAAATTAAATGGCTATGGACTTGGAGGTGTCCAAAAACAAGAGACTGATAGGAGCTTTCTTAATGCACAGCTGCATCAAAAATCACCAAAGCAACAAATGGCCCCCATGAGTAACATGTACCCAAATAATAATCCTGCAAGACAACCATTAAATCCAGTGGTTCAGAATCCTAATTCTCAATCTCAGATGAATACTTCATTTACTGCCCTGGTAAAATCCCCAACATCTGAAAGACAAGTGTTCATCCCAAACAATGTTCATCAAGACAAATCTCTCGAGGTTATCCGAAGGAATTCAACATCAAATTCTCAAAGTGAAAAAGCGCGAAATTCATATTCACAACCAAATGAATTCAACTCTCCAGGATTGAGACAAAATGTTTCAAAAGATTTAAATTCAAATGAGACTGGACAGAAAGTAAGGCCACTGTCTGCCCAAACCTCTGGCCTCAGAATACAAGACAGCACGGTTTCTTCTACTCAACAACTGATGGAAAATTCTCAACATTCCCAAAGTTCTGCCATGCCAGCTTCTGCAGGACACTCTGTCCTAAAGAAGACAGATCATCAGTATTTGATGAAATCAATCTCAACTGAGAAATCAGTCAGAAAAGATCTGATGGACAATTTCTCTCCAGAAAATTGCATCTCCCATTCCACTCCTACCTCAAAAGGGCTTTCCTACAGTAATACTCTTCCAAGATCTGCTAACCCTTACAATCAAAAGGCACTCGGCAGTTCTTCTTCTGTCAAGCAATTCTCCAGTCCTCAGCCTGTTAACTTCACAGGGAGTGGTGCTCTTAACTGTGATACAAACCAAGTGAAATCAAAATATACTTTGTCTTGCCAAGCTGACTCAGAGAATCAAATCCCTTTCAATTCAAATGTGAAATATTCCATGGAAAGCTCAGGGCTGAATAATAATAATACATATGTGTCTACCTCAGCACCAGTGCCTGCTTCAAGTTATGGTTTACAAAATAAATTAACAGCTAAAGTGTTTAACCATGACTATGTGAATGTGCAAGGAAGGGAAATAAGGCTAGGTGTGAACTATGATTCAGTGGATCCAAATTCTTCAGATGGTTCCAATATATATGAGGAATATCACAATGGTTGTCAAGAATGCATTAAGCAAGAATTTCAAAGTCAGGGACCCCTTTTTCCTAGAAATAATATACCTGAGACCGTTTTTGTTCCACAGAATGTAGGAATGAAAGTTCCCAGTTTGTTCCAATTACTTCAAAGTTATGACCTTCACCCCTTGTACATAAAACTCTGTGATAATCTCCCAGCTTCAGACTTTATTACATTCTCCGATTGCTCCATTGCACTGCAGAGCATGAAGCAGGACAAAAGAGATGCCATAGCAATATCTACTCCCCACGGTAAATGTGCTACAATAGGAGGTCCTGGAAGTGCCTTCACTCCAGTGAAGAATGCCATTGTCAGCACATCTTCAACCTTCTCCATGGTAACGGTTGCCAATGTTACCACCCCTGCAGGCTGTGACTTTGCAGGGATACAGAAAGGGGACATCGTCATTGAGGTTTGTAGGAAATAAAAAGCAATACAAACTGAGATTTAAAATTATTTTATCAAAGATTCTTGTCATATACATGTACATTGTATTTTATTTCAAAATTCTTTTCTTTCAAATAATGCCAAACATACTAAATTACCTCAGTGATAAATATATCAGTGATGGTAACTTTGTTTATAAGCTATTTGAAAGTACTTCATAAGATTTTTATTTTTTTGGCTATGTACAGGTTAATGGTGCTACTACGATGTCAGTTCCTGCCATGTCACTGAAGGCGGCTATCCAATCACAGCCCGGGGATATCCGTCTGCTGGTTGCCAGGCCAAAGGAAGAGAAAGAGAGAGAAGTATGGATAAAGTTTCATATGAGTAAATCATTTATTTAACATGTAAATATTATTCATATGATTTTTCTTGAATGATTGCAAAATAGAATTGACATTTTGATGCATGAATGCTATATTGAAATAAATGTAACAGTCTTATTTGATATGATAATATCCAGACAGGAAAAAAAAACAAGATTATTGATAAATTGTTATTTTTTTATTATTTTACAAAAAAAAAGTAAAAAAATTTTGATGAAATGATTCATTCAACATAGATTGAAGTTTCTAGAACATGTAACTAAAGGGAGCTCACTTTTATTTAATTTTTCTTTAGATTGAAATGCTGGAGAAGAAAAATGAAGAAATAGATAACCTGAAAAAGCAGCTAGCCACCATGTACATGGACCTACAAAAGAAAAACAGTGCTCTGCATGAGTTGACTTCTCAGAGAAATATGACAATTAAAACCCGAAAACCAGAAATTAATGGAAACATTATGAGCCATGAAGCCATTTTAAATGCTCTTAGTGAAGATGAATACATTGTTTGATTAATATTTGTTTGGAAAATATTTTTTTGTTTTATTATGACCTGAATGTATTTCACCATTGAAGCATTTTTCTAACAGGGCAAATTTTGAAGAATTAAATCAGTTAATTTAATTGTAAATTATATTATAGTCACTCATAACTGTAACAATAGTCATCAATGTAATATTTAATTATTGTTATTTTCCCTAGTGCAATGAGAAGAGATGTGCCGTGAGAATGTTCAATTTATTGAGTGAATCATTTGTTATCATTGCTGATATATAGAGATCTGATAAACTGTTAGGTTCCCTTTTGCAATACTGGAATCGTATTATTCTTGTGAGAAATTTTGAGTTCAAAATAATAAAGGAAGAGAAGATTTGGTCATTTTATTCGTCAGTGGCATGAAATCTTAGAGTTGTGGGTCATTTGAATAGTTAATAAACAGGAAAATTTCTGACGAATATTATTAGGATATTTCAAAGTTAAACACCATTCAAAAAATATTTTTAATATATGATAAAGTTAAACAACATTTAAAAAAAAAACATATTAACATATGACAAAGTTAAACAACATTCAAAGAATATATTAACATATGGCATTTAATTTCGAAAAAGCATTCAATTCACATTCAATTTTGAAACAAAAAATATGAAGAAATAGATGCTGTCACAAAACACATGAACACAGTACTACCCGCACGTGTTTGCCTCTAAAATTATTCAACTTTGTAAATGGATAAATAATGGATAATGAAGAAGTAATAATAGTTATTTCATATTTTGTATCAAATTGAACATAACATGCTCAGCTAAGCCTTTGCCAATGGCTTCGTATGTTAGTATTTCATATAGTAAATTCATCACCAGTCTGACACTAAAGAATTTAATGAAGCAATATTCTGTTTAAACAAAAGAGTTTCTGAGAGAAAAAAAAATTGTGTAAAAAATGAATTTTTAGTCCCCCAGTTGGTCTCCCAGACGGAAAAGAAAATTCAGAAATCTTAGTGCATATCTACAGGACATCACCAATCATATTCTGAAAGTTGATTTGGCTACTGCGTTAAAATTAGGAAGAGTTCTGGAACATGGTCTTTATAGATTTTTTTTCCCTTTCTTTTCTTTCTTTTGTTTTTACTGGCCCCCAGTCGGCTTCCCCTATGAAAGAGAAAATTTCAAATCAAACACCACATCTTCAAAACATCATAAATCATATTCAAAAAGGTGAAATGGGTTCTCTGTAAAATGGAAGAGGAGTTCTGGGGAAGAGGTTTTGCAGAAAGAAGTTTCGATCCCTTATTTGCCTCTAGGGTGAAAATGAAAATTCTGAAACCCTATTGCACATCTACAGGATATTGCCAATATTCCTAGACACAATTTGGCTTCTCAAAAATATGAGGGGGGTGGGATCTGGGTTTTACAAAAAAGAACTTACGACTAAGACGTCAATTTAATTCTGCTTATAACTTTTTAATTTACATTATATTGAAAATGGTTTCAATCCTTTTAAAAGGAATGTAGTAAGATATTTTTACGATAGCAATTTCAAACAGAATCATCAATTTTGCAAAATTTTACAATCAACTTAAGTTTTTGGTCTTAGTCGTAAGTTTTTTTTGTAAAACGGGCCCCTTTTCTCTTTTTTTTTGGGGGGGGGGGGTGTAGAAGAACTTCGTTTTCGTCCCCTCCCTTCCATACCTATTTGACCAAGAGGGTGAAAATGAATGAAATTCCAAAACCTTATTGCATATCTACAAGACACCACCAATCATATTCGAAAAGATGATTTGGCTACAGTGTAAAATGTAAGACGAGTTTGAGGATGACGAATTTTGTAGAAATGTCGTGTTTCGACCCCAACTCCACCCCCCTAATAAAAGGTTGTGAAATCTTATTTCATATCTACAGTTCACCTACAATCATAGTCTTCCAAAAGATGAATTGGATACTGCTTAGAATGAAAGAGGACTTTGGGAAAGAAGAAAGTGTGACTAACGGACGGACAAGGATAGTAACAACATACCTGAATTTTCTTTAGAAAGAGGGGTAATGTGCGCTCTACCAGAGGACATTCTCTCGAATGTTGAAATTAGAGTTATCGCTCTTTGAAATTGTGTTGGGCTGTACTTTTGGAGAATTAAATTATAAATGATCTTGTTTTTAGCCGACTTCGGTAAAATAGTTGTGATACTTATCCATTGGTATCTTGTCTGCATGCTCCATTATTCATTAATTATTACATCTTCAGATGCAAAACTTACTGGGTTTCAAGGAAACTAACTACTCGACTCCTGAATTTTATGTATATATTATTCATTAAAAAGCACGGGCACTGGAAGTTAATGTAAATATTGAGTATGTGCATGTATAAAAAAGGAAGGGTTCCTTTTTTATACATGCACATATTCAATATTTACATTAATTATATAACTTCCAATGCCTGTGATTAAAAGGAAGACCATGTGTCCTTTTAACGGGAAGTAAGTTCTTTATTAAAAATTCGAGTTTTCATTTCAGTGAGTGTTAGGGGATGTTTAGTGATCTGATCACGTGTCTCTGTACAAGGTATCAGCATTCTCTTCTAATCGTACGAGTTTTTCACTCAACTGCATGTATGCACTTTTTTTTTTAAGAAAGACAAATCTTAATCAGTTTAGAGATTCACTGGTTAAAGGTGTTATTTACGCTTCTACTGATGGAGTGGTTGCCGACATATCATTAAGATCCCACCTGGTTAATCTCAACTAGAGGGGGAGATATGGTCATTCCGAAAACTGACAGACTGCTACATTTGTATTGAAATACATGACCTTGAAAAGCTGCCAAAATTGGTTTACTGGGTTGTTTTTTTTAAACCGTTAAAATCTCCTTTTCATCGTTGCCTAGAATTTCTTCATACACAACCCCTATTTTTCCATGGTACGTGTGCTCAAATATCAAAACAGTAATAAACATGAATTCATCAAAATTCCCAGTCTATGGTTTTCTTCCATTTGCATTGTGGAATTCCATCATATCCAGTTTAAACCAGTGCGTTTAAAAAAAAAGGTCCTTGTCCATAATCAATTCCATTAGAGTTCAGTAATGTGTACATGTAGAAATGAATCAATGCACTCGGCAATTCAGATAAACATAATTTACATTTCAATATTTATCTGAGATGAATTGCCACGAAAACTATTCATGATTGAACCATTTTGAATACTAGTATTTGAACGAAAAAGATTTATGTCCTTGCCAATATTTCCTCCTAATTTGATGTCCAATTTTATTAAATTAAGATGTAGACAGGTTTAAATTGATAAGTTCAATATCGTCTAAATCTCAATAGATTTTCCCTGATGTGTCTCTCTTCTTTTTAACAATAATAATTTTAATATATATATAATATTGTATAATGCCGATTTTTATAAATATAATCAGATATAGTCACTTTACTCGATAAAAAAGATCGAGATCCTTGTAGAATTCAACAGGTCTTGAAGTAATCGAAGTCAAGTGCTTGATTTTTTTTTATATCTTTTTAATAGTTTCAGTGAGGAGTATTATATAACGATGATTCAAAGTTCTCATAGCCTTATCTCGAAAACTGTGTACTAGCTGCTTCAATTTTTGAAAGAAAAAAAATCACCCTTGAGAAAGCAGGTTTTCCCCTCCAAAAAATCCCCTGTGTGAGCACAGACTGAACGGAATCTTATTTTATACAGAAGGTTTATCTTTGTTTATCCGTCAGTCTGTAACAACTTCCTCTCAAAAGATGTCAAAAACTCGAAGCCATTATAGAAGAGGGAACTTCTAACATGGAGGGAAAACAGAGAATGATGAAATGGTGAAGGCAAATACTTTCTTATTATTGGAGACGCTGGTATGTTTATTAACAGTGATTGTAGACTTTATATTCTTGAAATGGTAAGATTTTTAAAAATTATTTTTCCCTTTTCTTTGTTTATTTGGTTTCATATGGGGGGGGGGGGGTGTTGAGGAGGAGGAGTTGAGAGATCTATTTGTTACACTATTGCACCCATGATGAATTTTAATGGAACCTTTTTTAATTTACTGATCAACATAGTCTTTTTCTTCCTTTTTTCTGTATTTACTCTGTAGCATTCGAAAACTGTTTTCGTTACTGATATCTAATTTTATCAGTAAGATCTGCAATAGTCATCATGTTGCAGATTTTATTTGACGAAAAAAAATGTCAGAAAAAAATAAGTACCGACTTGATTCATAATTTCAGCATCTCGATACGTTTGAGATCTGACGATGAGTCAATGTAATGGCGCACATTTATGTCATCAGAAATATATGCCACATAAAGTATTCAAGTTTGAAATCAATCCAGTCAAGATATTGACTTACCTGTGGATTATCAGAAACAATATACATGTATTTATTTAAATCAATGGTTCCAGAGTTATAGTCTGGAAACTTGTTTTCTTTCTCTTTGCCTAGTGACATTGACCTTTAAGATGTAACCTTGAATTAAGATCATAACTAACATTGGCAACAACTTACCAAAGTCAGTTCAAATGTCTTTCTCTTCTTTTGGTTAAAAAAACCCTCTCTCCAATTTCAGAGCTACAATTTCCTCAGTAACTATAGCTTAATTACTAGTATATTTTTCCAAATCGTTCTAACGCTGCCAATATGCCATTGGGATCTACATTTTCAAGAACATTTATGAAGAAGTAATTTTTAATTTACTTGGTGGAGGTAAATACAGTTTTTACAACATTTCCTCCCAGTACTTTAGGAACTATTTTCCATTGATTAATCGGTCTATGAATATATTTGTAAAAAAAAAAATCAGATAAAATATATCTACAGTATCTACAACGTTATACTTGACATGATATGCGATACTACAGGATGCACACACGATACGATAGGATACACACACGATACGATAGGATACACTCACACAATACGATAGGATACACACACGATACGATAGGATACAAACATGATACGACAGGATACACACACGATACGACAGGATACACAAACGATACGACAGGATACACACACGACTCGATAGGATACACAAACGATACGACAGGATACACACACGTCTCGATACATCGTCGCAAGCCACGGGTTTTGTACGTGTCCATTCTATATTAACAAATAGAATGGACATAAAACCTCTGACTTGCGACAATGTATACGATAGGATAAACGGTCTTCAAGACTTCACTTAAACACGATACCCCCATTTTTTTGTTGTCAGCCCACTCGCTTTGGTATGGACCACAGGATTTGAAATCTTTTTTATCCGAATGACATACCGGGGGTATACAAAAAAATTATACCCCTGCCCCAGATATATCAGTTACAGTTCTGCAGCTATAATACACCAAATTTTATAAATAAAAAATTG